GATTATATTTATCCGCAATTAGTTATACGAATTCAAAAATCGAGCTTTGATAAGTTGTACTTTTGCATAATTTACTTGTAATCTTGAATTTTAAGTAAAAATTGGTTTTATGTGATTTTGAGAAAGTGATAATATTTTTATTTTTGAATAAAATATAAATTTAAAAATATTTCATAAATTTTAAAAAAAAAAATCGATATCAGTATTAAATTAATCTTTTTAAAAGTTCTTGTGTTTTGGTATAATTTTCTTAATTAAATTATGTTAGTTATCAATGATTATCATAATTATATTTTAGATTTTTTATATTTAAAATGAAATATTTATCCAATATTTGATTATGTTTATCTGCAGTTAGTGTAACACCCCATACCACACATTGCATGTAATATATACTTCATACGGAAGAAATACATGTTTATATATCACTCAGGTCCCTTAGTACAAGAATTTACCATACAGAGTACATGTCCCAAAAATTTAAAATACATTTCTTGTACTAATCAACATTCTTCAATCAAAACTATACATCATAGACAAATCTTCATGCAGATATGCATATAGAAAAATATCACATTTTCCCCTTTCTCTTACCGTCCGTACCTCCTGCAATACATATTTAAAATCATAAAACGAGGGTTAGACCGAAAGGTCTAGTGAGTTAACTTATTTATGTCATTGCAGGGTGAAAATCACCAAATATTTGTACAAAATTACTTTTCATATATATAACAAATATATGAACAAATAAGTACATATTACCAGTACCTTTCCACTTTTCAAGTCAAACATTCAGCTATTCAGATAACATACTTCAAACTTTTATAGGTTTGAATCAACCAGGTTCTATATCATGCCACTTTTCAAACCTTTTATTTAAACAAGGCTTATCCAAAGTTTCAGGTCAAACTTGTTATTTTTTCCTCTATAACCTTCAGACTATGATTTCTAATAAAAACTTTGATCCTAAATCTTTAAATCACAAAGAAATAAAAATTCTAGACCATGGTAATTTTAAAGGATATAATAGTAAGAGTTATATTATATAACACACACATACAATTGCCACCCTTATATCCAAATGTACACCTCTCCTTGATATGCCACCATTATCCCATGATACACCTCTCCTTGATATGTCACCCTTATCCCATGGTATACCTCTCCTTGATATGCCACCATTATTTCATCATCAAAACATTTCACAAAACAATTCCATTTAGACCGCAGTCAAAGGAATTATCAGTTCAAAATAATCTTTATCAAAATTCCCATTATATATATATATATATATATATATATATATAAACAACAATTATATATATAAACTATGTACAAGTCATAATACGAATCCAATCAAACATAGACTTGGCCGGACTTCATCTCCGGTCAAGTCTTGGCCAATTTACACATCCGGACAACACATCGCCCAAGGCTTGTCCGATTTAAGTCTAACCCGGACAACATTCATCAAGCGGTTTATTTATAAATCGTTTAAGCCTTAACCGGTTTAGGGCTTAAATCGCCTAACCCTTGTCCGGTTTATGGCTAAACCGCCTTACTCTTGGCCGGTTTAAGCCTATTCCGGATAACACTTCAAAGTTAAACTTTTAATTCAAGAAACAAAGTTCCTACTATCAGTTATACAACTAAGAAAAGTTTAAAATAATATAAACCACTCACCTTGAAATCCTTTTGAAAATCAGTCTTCTTGCAATGCAAAATAAGGAAATCCGGTCAATCTTTCTCTCTAAATCGCTCAAACTTATTCCAAAGATGGCAAGAGAGGTGAATGGAGGTCTCACCCTCCTTTTATACCCTTCCTTAAAAAGAAAGGTCGGCTATAACAGTTCTAACCTCATGCATACTTACACATATACATAACCTCTCATACAAGCACTTACCTCACACAATCATGCATCCATAAAATATGCATGTGTGTACATATATATATATATAGGTTGGTTATTATATAACCATTGATATTTGTGCAACCAATACAACTCAATCTCAACCGTCCATTTCGTTTGATGAATATGTGATTTCATAGAAGTTTTGATTGTTTCTTAATATAAAGTATTAATCACAATTAATGAACCCTATTCATATTCCATAAATATTCAAATCATAATAAATGAACTTTCATCATTTCTATAAATATCTCAATTAATTGGGTTGCAAGGGTTGTACAAATACACAAGGTTGTAAAAGAAATATACCCTATATATATATATATATATATATATATATATATATGCACCCACATAACCCCATACATGCATTTACATTTTGCACGTAATTTCACATACTAGCATGATTAAATATATCAATTTATCATGCTGTCACATAATCATATATAACAAATAATCACATATTCATTACCTCAGGTGACAACCAAGATCTGGTTATCACAGTTAGTTAGACGAATTCAAGCATGGAGCTTTAATAAGTTGTACTTATGTATAATTTATTTGTAATCTTAAATTTTAAGTAATATGCATCAATAAACAATACTTCGTGCATAAAAAAATTGTTTTTAAGAGTTTTTGTCATATATTTTATAATATAGTATAGATGTTTTAAGTTCTTTTATTTATTTATTATTTATTTAATTGGACAGTTTTATTTATGTTTTTGGTATTTGAATATAGAATTTTATCTACGTTTTTTGTGTTTTGAATATAGAATTTTATCTATGTCATGGGTTTGGGTATTTGATCTATCACTAAAGCGAATGTTTGATCTGTCATGACCCTAATTTTTTTCTATACTATGACGGAGAAACGAAACGACAGTCCATGCCACCGTATGAACCTGTGTGCGTCTGCCCTTGGTTCTTACAATGATGTAAAGAGATCTTTGAAGAAACCTACGGAAGAGATCTTGAACAAGCGTTCGAGATAGCATGATTGAAATATCGTTTAAACCTGAAACTATAATGTAAAATTATATAAATGAAAAGAATATCAGTAACGTCTTTGGGTCAGGAAGAGAGGTTAGAGATAGAGAATTTGTGGGTCGTGAGAGGGAGAAATAAATAAGAAGGGAGGGAATCGAAGGGAGGGAATCGAAGGGGTGTTTGGTACTATCAATGAGAATAAGAATAAAAGAAACTGTTTGATGTTATATAATATAATTGGTTCATTCCTATAGAAGCTCAAATCTTCATTCCAGATTAAACTGGAGGCATAAAAATTCCTTTTCATTTTCATTACCTGTCATTTTCATCCTCAAACATGAACCAATTAAAAAAAGAGGTATGCAAATAGGATAATTTAATTTTTTAAATTAGGTAGGGGTGTTTTTTGGTCCAGTTTTGGAGGTTTAACTCCCATATCACAAACCAAATCGCAACGATGATTTAGAATTTCTTTTAAATCGTGCAGTTTGGTAGCAAGTGCCAAATCGGTTAAACCGGATCGTAAAAGACGGTATGGTTTAATCGGTTTTAGCGCTTTGGGTTTCTTATGAGTTTTAAACTGAAAAACATAACATATATATTCAAAACAAAATTTCTGTTAATATAACATTATTAATAAGCAGTACATCGAATTATAATAAATATTATTAAAAACAGTATATCGAATTATAATAAAACGTATATCTTTAAAAGTAAAAAAACCAATGAGCAAGTTGAAAAAAATTTAAATTCACCAACAATACTTAGAATTTTGGACAAACATTGAGCAAGTTGAAAAACGATTTTTGAAATTTTGGATTTGACTTTTGACGGGTTTTGGAATTTTGCGAATTTAAATAACGTGATCAATTGAGAAATGAAAACTAAAAACATGATGTTTTTGGATAAACTCTCTTTTAATCGAGACATAAAAGTTGAGGCTATAACATGAAATTAACTATAATTAATGCATGTGTATTTTTAGCGGTCGGTTCGATCAAGACCGCTCAAAAAACATTCAAACTGCAAACAAGATCGGACATAGCGGTTTGATTATTTTTCAGACGAGACCGATAGATTGCTCAAATTGCCAAAAACAGTCCGATTTAACTTGGCTCGGCCGATTTGAAGCGTTCCAACAGTTTCTTTTATCACCCCTAAAATTAAGGGACCATTTACCAAATATTATCGGGTCGCTTTTTCCGTCAAAATTCATCACTCTCATTTACATTATCATCAGAATTTAACCAAGAGAGATTCAATTGTTAGCAAGTTACATACTTAGGGGGTGTTTGAGATTGCTTATTTGAAACAACTTATGTTTTTTTTACAAAAATGCTTATCAATTTATTATAAGTTAGAAAAATATAACTTTTTCAAAAACTCCTTATTATCGGTTTGACATCGGTATAAACTGTTTATCCAAACACTCAAAAATATTTATTACCGGTTAATCAGTTATTACTAACACAATAAAATGATTTGAAAGAAAATATTGGTGGCGGTTATGTATTTTCGGATGTGGTACTTCCCGCCATACAACTCTATCCACTTCTATCACTCGTTAGAGAAGAAATTGCCGACTTTTTGTCTTTCATCAAAACTTGAACTGTGCTCTTTATCATGCGTAATTTTCAACCATTTCTATCTCATAACCCTCATAATTCCTTGTTACAGCATCAACCTTTGTGGGTGTCTACGTTTGGATTTTATACATGTTGCCAATGGAAGAAAAGGGGCAGTGGTACCAACAACAGCATCCTTCCAAATCGAGCTGTGGATAGAGATTCAGAGTTCGAAATCGATCCAGATAAGGCCCGTGAAGCCCTCAGAAAGCTTGACCAACAACTTGATCTTATTTCTCAGAAACAGTCCAACCCTGTTCCCAAAATTAAAGGTGTTTGTTTCCCTTCATCTCACTTTGTGTTTGAATGTTTGTGTGGTTGATTATGGTTAATTGGGAAATGAAATTGATCATACTCTTGATGTCTTTCGTATGATTAGGTAGGCATAGCCAGAATTTATATATGTAGATCATTATGAACCCTAATAAAAGTCTTATATGAAGTTCTATGAATTCAACTTTTACTTTGAATTATGGTCCAAGTGAAGCAATTGATGGTTAATGTTCAATCTATTAATGCATCCATTCCTAGATTAGGTTCAAACGGATCATGGTTCAAGTCCAAATTTCATGACTTCTTTATAATGTTTGGGAACCCATAGGAGCCTGAAGAACAACTACGAAAATCCCCCTTGGCTTAGTGGGACTCGAACCGTTGACCGTTTGGCTTATTGCGAGTGAGCTAACCCCTCAAATTTGAGATGAGTTGTTATTGGGTGAATCAGACAGATGCCTTCAACTTTGTTACTGGGCAGTGAGCCACGAGAAAGGCTTCAAGAATCCTAACATAGACTAGGGGATGTGTCGTTATCTTATTGTCACCATATTTCCTTTGTACATGCTTTTGATTATATGGTAGTCTTCTTTCATTTTTGTCTATAGCGTTAATCTTCTTTCCTTTTTCCATTTTATCTCCGTATTTCATTTTGCTTCGGCTTTTTGGGCATTTTTTTTTTCATACAGTTCTTAAAAGCCGTTGGTTTCCACAGAAACAAGCACTCTCCTCTTCGGTGTATAGGATAGCTCTACTTACATCCTACTCCCAAGGTTGAAATACTACTGGGCTAGTTTGGTTTGTCTATAGCTGTTACAACAGTCAAAATTTGAAATAGTGGTTAGGACTGTGATTTGATATAGTCGTTATCGCGATGGTAAGGTGGTGATATAACGGTCCACACATAGCAGTTCATGTAATCATTACAATTATATATAAATGTATGAATAGATGCATAACATAATATATATTTTGAAGATGAACATAAAGAACATGTGAATAGAAGAGATCAGCAAAATATAGACTGGAATAGAAGAGATGAGAGAAGAATAGCGAGTTTACACACCAATATTGCAAATTCAACCCCCTAGCTCGTAATCCCTTAATCAACTTCTCTAAACCCATTTGTCCCCTACTTCTATACTTTGTATGAAAATAGAGGAAGTCATTTATGACGGATCATTTTTTGGTGGGTACGATATAAGCTTACTGTTAGTAGATGTGCTGTTTGCCTTCCCATTATCATTTGTTTGGTGATAAATTGCATCTACACAGCCAAGGCCAAACCTATCTAGTTGTATTTTGATGCTCTTTTAAGTGTATAATATTTATATAAGGCGAATACTCGCACACACTTCTTACCTTTGGTGAGGTTTGAAGGGATCTACCGGTAACCCGGGTACCACTAGGCCCATGACTCTTTATTTAACTCTTTTTGTATCAAGATGGGGGTGTGTTGATCCGCATTGTCAAGATTGCTAATTAGTTAATACATTTAAAGTTATCTAGCTTAATTATTTGTTCAGATCGTTCTCCTCCTATGAGGCTAGAGCTTGAGTGTAACAATCTGAAATTGGTTTAGTGAGGTATGCACGTAAATGTTTAGAAGATCAAGAGCATATTCCGAACCACATCTCAAATACAAAAATGCATTGTCTTCTAAAGATGGGGGGTTATGTTGATATGCAAAAAACTCATCATCTTGATTCTCTATCTGTTTCTCTCCATTCTAAAAGAGCTAGGAAGGCTAAGGCTATTGTTTAGTTTACGACCAGTTAATCGCCAAAACCAAAAAGGAGAGAACATTTTTACGTAAAGCTGCTTGTATCTGGTTTTGAAGATTCAAGGTACCCAGATCATGTCTACATACTATACAAAGCTCTTTTGGGACTGAAACGGGTCCAAGGGCATGGTATGAAACCTTATCTACTTGGACTGAAACGGGTCAAAGAAGCTATTATTGTCCTCTATTACACTTCTATTTTAAAATCCGACTCTTTGTTAGCTATGTCTGCCTTACAGATAACTCATTTTTACGTCGCTTCCTTCATATGATTGTTTAACATGTCTAGCAAAAGGGAATGAGACATGTGATGCAAAGTAGAAGTGCGATAAAAAATAAACTTCCTAGACTAGTGGTAGGTTTGCTAGGAACCTCATTTTCATTGAGAACGTTGGGACATGTTATTCATGACATTGAATAATATTCAGTGTTATTCATTATGAATGATACTCATTAGACATCCATGTGATATTCATGATGAATTCTTGAGATATTAACGATGAATAAATTAAGTATTATTCAAGTGTTATTCATCATGAATAACTGGTACCTGGGTTCTCAATGAAAATGAGGTTCCTAACGAAACTTTCCTTTATTAGACTAATCCCCATACTATTTCATTAATGATCACTAAGTGTGCGTTTGGTACAACAGACAAGACAGAACAGAAAAAGGGATCATATTTCCATGTTTGGCAGGACTTTTGTGGAACAAAGTGGAACAAACATGTTTCACCCCCACCCCATGGAACAAGGTGGAAGAGATTTACATTTTACTAATATAACCTCAAAATAAAATCTAATTCTCTTCTAAAACATCAAATACATTTGTCTCTTTACATTTTATTTATTTTTTAAATTTTCTTTATTGTAGTTTATGCTCTTTAAACTTTCACTTTATTAGTCCTCTTAATATTATTTTTATATGGTTCCTATATTTGATTAATTTATGTAGTTTATTAAATATTAATAATAATAAAATAATATATAAAAGGTATAAAATAAAAATTGGAAACTACATAAACTTTTTATTTTGATGTCATTTTTATCGTATTGATGAAAACCTTCTAATGACATATTTTGTTATAAAAATATTTGTTTTATTATAATTACATAATTTAATCAAAATATATAAAATATACATACAACTCATTGGGGGTAAATTGGTCATTTTATCTGTTTTGTCCTGTCCAGTTCTTTCTTACCAAAGGATGAACAATTGTTTTGTCCTCTCCTATCCTGTCTCGATACCAAATGCAACCTAATATCCATTGCTTGAGTGCATGCAAAGAGGAATGTGAACATCATCTTATTATAACAAGTTCATCAGTTTGGTAGAGTTTGTGTTCAGTACAATAACATTTCTAGTCTGCTTCATCTTATGATGCAAAAGCTAATCATCTTAGTTTGGGTATTTGAAGTCTTCAAGAGAGAAACTATGATGCAAAAGGGATGTAAATAACGCTAATACGAGGGCAGACTCGTTATATTATTTACGCCTAATCTTCCCAACTATAACTTCATAACAAGGATTAGCTTATCTTAATCTTAAACTGGTTTTTACGGTTTCTAACTTTTTAGATGGTTTTTGTTTGATTTGCCTTTAATCTATTTACAAATTATTGCAGCTCCCAGCCCGTATAATACAAGAGATGATGAGATGAAAGATACGGGATCATTTCTTCCGTATGCCGCTTTTGGACTTCTTATCTTCACCATATTTTATAATATACTGTTCACAGTGGTAATAAAACCATCTATTGATGGACCACAAGTAGAAGTATCTCCTGCTGGATCATCAATTATGACACAAGTTTTGAAAGCTGAGTTACTGCAACTTTCACCATCTCCAGACCAACCATCAACTTCTACTTTGATTAATTCTGATCAGTAAGTAACTCCATCTCTCTTCTGGCATTCACAATTATGTAATGAATTTATACATCATAATCAATTCAAATATGTATGCATGCATGTAGTATGTATGAACGTGCATATGTATGGGAAAATAAGATTTGAGCTATCCCATTTCACAAGTAGTGCTCGAGCAGCTCTTCATCATGCTACTCGTTTATAGGTCCAACCAACGGGTACTATATGAAATGCAATGTATGGGGGAAGCCTTTTGCCTACGAACTATTCCCAGTTTTTTTTGGGGGGAGGCAATGTGTGTGTATATTCCAGTGGGTTCTTTGAAATTGAAAATGATAAGAAGACTTGTATTGAAGACAACGTTTGTTGGATTTTTTTTGAAGTATATAATATTTATATACGGTAAATACAACAAATAAACTCACACTCCTTCCTCACCTTTGGTGAGGTTTGAACCCTTGACCTCTTAGGAGGCCAAAAACTCACATACCGCTAGGCCAAAGACCCTTTGGTTTGTTGAATTTTATTGCTCGTGTTTCGGAGCAAAATGAGTAGGGTTAGAGGTGCAGTGGTGCCCTACTCATTTTTTTTAACGTATTTATCCAACTGTTAACAAAAGAAGTTAGCAGCACATAAATATAATAACAATTTAAGAAAAAGAAAAAATATGACCATTTCCATCTACCATTCTTCTTTTGATATTTTGAAGGAGTTTGTCGACGGATTATAGATGTGCCTTTTTGTTTGACTAGTTTCGGACAAACTTCATATAACTTGGCTTTCCACACTTGTAACATTCCAAGGAGTGTGAGCTGCACTTGCCATGATGCTTGTTTTTACACTTAGGACACCATTTTGCATCCCTAAGAGAATCGGAGCCTCCACCACTTGAAAAACTCTTCAACTTACTTCCCACTTCCTTTTATAGTATCTGCAACACTTTCTTCCTTCTTCATAACCAAGTCATCTTCCATAAGCTGTGATTCTTTGATGATTTCTTTTAAGTAGTGTCCCTCACAAAGGATCTCATTTCCACTTAATCTTGGTTTTCTCATTCAGGGCCAAATGTCTCACCTATTTCAGTTCCTCGATGAAAGAGCTTGGTAATCAACAATGGTCATGTTCTCTTCCTTATAATGGCTCGAAACACTCGTGTTCAATACGATCCAGAGTTGGCTGATTGTAGTATTTCTCCATGATCTTGGTTTTGAACATACTCCATGTCGGTCTAGTCACTATGTGGGTAGCAAGAGCGGACCTAGTGACATTCCACTAACTGGACTCTTACCTCTTGTAGGAACAACCTATCTCATGGCAGTCACACACTAACTTGAATCACCCCAGTTCATGTACCGTTGTTTATCTCATTGCCACCAGAGCCCCCAGTGGCATTCTCATTGATAGTCTTAGGCCTTTGGTTGCTCGCACCTCTCTCTTAAGCATCTTAGATTACATCTGTCGTTGTCTATCCGTAGTGGCTTCCATCATTTGAGTCATTCCCTCCATCATCACGGCTTGAGGGTCAACCTTTTACATGCAGAATTCCTCTATCTAGGCCAACATTCATTCTAAGACTTTCACCAGCAAAGGCTGAAAGAGAAGAGCAGGGGGTGGTAGGCTTAGTAGGGCTCGAACCTACAATATCACCGTTATGAGCTGTACGTTTCAACCAATTAAACGATAAGCCCCTACGGATCTCTACATGTAATTCGCTCACTTTGGGAAGAGCTAACGGAAAGAGGAGGCCTTTGCTCTATCTGCTGCTTCTTCCTCTCCCCAGGAATGAACATTTGGAAAAAATAAAAAGATCCTATATATCTTTTTTGTTTATAGATAGATATAGAATATAATTCTATAGAAAAATGAAGTTAAGCAAGCGGCCCTTTGGCGACTCAAACTACCGGTACGCAACCGATCAAATGGGCGGAGGCTCTATATTAGCTTGCAACCTTTGACTCAAAATGAGATGGAATGTCGTGCATGAATTATATGCATTCATCGTCTTATACATGGTAGTGGTTTAGATGATGTTTGTTTGATGATATTTCTACCTATAAGGGAAGCCATTGATATATGGTTGTAAAATAAAATGAAGTTAAGGAAGCTAAGAAAACACCATAGAGAATTATGAGCTTTACTAGAAAACATGAACTAAAGAAGCTCGGATCTTTCTCTTTTTGAGCTCAACCCTAGATGAATAAAGACTCGGCTTGGTATCGGGTCAAATTCAAGCTTAATTTAACACCATTAAGATCGAGCTTGAACCCAGTTGACTTCAAACTCATCTGTGGGCTTATGTACAATTCCATTAACATCAAACACAAAATACTTTTTCGTTGTAACACTCGGGTTTGCTTTTTTCATCTTATTGTAATTCAAATTTGATTAGGGGGCCCCATTTACCAACTTCAATCGAATAAGATTATCGGTAACCAAAATAACATAGTACAATTATCTCCACCCGGTATAATTGTTAATAGACAAAATGACATAATAAAATTATTGGTAAAGACAATCAGTCTTTGAACGAGTAAACATATCTTATCTAGTATAGTTATCCTATAAAGATAACAAGTGTCAATCCCTAAGGTGAAAACATGTCCTAAACTTACAGCAATCTTATGGAAATTAGAACATTTAATTTTACATCTAATTTAAATAAATTGTTTCACCATTTATTAAATATTTTACACAATTTTTAATACAATAATACCATCAATTTATTTATAAGAATGATAATAAACAAAGCAAATATTCATAACCAAGTCCAATAACATTCAATCACCATTTTATCTTTTATTATGTTAATGAAATTCTTATTACCAATACTCTTTTTGTTAGGGCTAAGAAGATAAATACAAAAAATATAATAATAAAAAAGAACGAGTAAATGGCAATTTTGGTCCTTGTGGTTTTATTGTTGATTTGGGTCCTTACAAAAATTTTATTGCAAAAAAACTCCCATGATATGCATTTTTGCTTGGTTTTGGTCCCACCTATTAACTTCTGTTAGCTTTAAGCCGTTAAACGAGGGTTTTTCGTCTTCTCTTATTTTACTTTAATTCCCTTTTAAAAATAAAAAAATAATATAATTTTATTAATATATGCGCACACACACGCATAAACCACATGAGCAAAGCACAGGCCCAATCCCTACACTATCACCGACCCCTACCCTTAAATAGTATCTGGAAGTAGCTCCAACCATCTTCTCATGCGAGTGAAACAAACGACAAAACCATATCCACGTCCCCAAGAACCTTAATTTCTCTAAATCAAAACAAAAATGGGAGCATTTCCTATGGAGGGGGTGGAAGTAGAAGGGGTTAACTAGAGATGGTTAAGGGGCCCCATAGGAAGGGGTCGTAAAAGGGACTCTCGATTTCCTTTATAGGAAGGGGTCGTAAAAGGGACTCTCGATTTCCTCTCGGACTCACAACCCTTCGAGGCTGCAAAATAGATCGACCGCAACATCCTTCTCACTCTTAATTTCCTCCAAAATCTGTCCTAACATGGCATCCTAGTTTCAACCATATGACCCCGTTCGCTTGTGATTTTCTCTTTAAAAGGGTTGAATGTGGCTGGTGATGTTAATGAAAAGGGGCATCGATGAGAAGGATCTGTAGAAAGGGTTGAAGAAGAAGACTGGAGAAGAGGTTGAGGGTTGTGAATGATGGCCATAGATGAGGAAGTTGTTGTGTTAGATATAGGGATTCAGAAGTGATTAGTCGACTGAATAATCTCTTTAGATCGTATAAGTACACTGTCTAAATATAATAATTCGTCCCTTATATCCTTGGGTATCACCAATTTTGTACTTGGATAATCCAAGAGAAACTCTCTTTATATCTAAAAGGTTGATAGATCAAGTCCTTATGTATACCCAGATTCTCATATACATATTTATATGAGAAATCAACAGTTACAGATAGTTAAAAGCGATTATAACCTTTAGTGGAGAAAACTAGAGAACAATGACAATTGTTATCCTAACTCTGATTGTACTGTCTACGTCTAATTGCACAGACTCTAAGTCTGGTTGCACAGACTCTAAGTATGATTGCACAAACGTAAGTCTGATTACACATAACCTAAGTCTGATTGCACAGATCTTAAGTTTGATTACACAAATCATATTATAAACTTAGTCAAAATTCGTCTAATTTCGAGAACAATTTCAAGAAGGTTTACAACAAACTGAAATTCGTCCGGAACATTTTGAAGCTTAAAATTTTTAAGTCTAAACTCTTCCTAAATTCTCCCCTTGGAACCTTGCTAGGGTGATAGGGAAACATTTGTGAGTGTGCACTCTACACCTCCTAAATCACTTATGTTTGCTGATCGCGGATATGCTAATGCACCACAGACTACAATCAGGACTAAAAGCAAGTATACAAATAGTCTCAATATCGTCTTTCAAGTAATAAAAGTGGTACAAGTACCGAATATCGTCCACTTGGATTGTAGTAAAAGTTTAGAAGAAAGTAAAGTTAAGAAAATGATTTCAGAAGGCGAATTCGAAGACTTTGATTTGAACAGAGTTAACACAACTAAAAATTAACAGGAGATAACATATATTAAAAGCAAGCTAGGGTGTATGACTTTTTGGGTGAGATGTAAATATTAATTCCAGTAGACCAATGCTGTCAAAATGCTACAGCATGAAACCATGCTGACAGATTGCTACAACATTCAATCAGTAACAACTATTTTTACCAATTACTTTGAAGGTATTCCTCTCGGACTTCACTAATGCACTGATATTATAGCTTTCAACCCATATCTCTATGAGGTATCCAGACCAGTGAAAGTGACAAATGGTGTCTTCAAAATATATGGATAAACAAATCTCTTTGTTAAAAATCACTCTCTCGAATGGATTCCCATATCATTCAAGTTGACGTGTTCTGAATAGCTCATCTATGAGTCCATTCTACTTTAACACTTCAGATTGATCACCCCGTCGAGAATTAACAATTTAGAAAATACGGATAACAAATCTCTTTGTTAGCAACTCTCTCAAGTCTACTTCCATATCATCCAAGTTGACGTGCAATCAATGGCTCAGCTTAGAGTCCATGGCAGTTTAACACTTTCAAAGTGGTCAACTCGTCAAGAATTGTCATTGGTTTTATAAAACTTAAAATGAAAAAGTAAAACATCGTTGTTACATGAAAGGGTCGACTATATTTGATTTACAAACTCACCCTTTTCATCATACACCCGAGATAATAAAATTAGCTACTCATGACGAAAAGTAAATGACAAGAAATGTAAAGTACAGTAAATAAAGACATAAAA